TTCTATTGTTGGTGCAACTCCCTCCTGGAGGACAGGCTAATGACATGATGTAACTGTAACTATCAGAGAATGAAGATTTCCCCTGCTTTTTGCTGTCCAATTTGGTTTGTAGAGACTTACTAAAAACCCTAGCCCACAGCCTTCATGGTCTGACTTTGGTAGCAAGTTACTCCAAGCCTCAGTTTTCCTAGGGGAAAGGCTGCTGGCTGCGCGCTGAGCCTTTCTGGCTCTGAGCCCTTTGCTCTGCCTCCTCCCTCTAGGATCAGAGGCTCACCTGGTGGATCAGCCCTGGGGAGCTCACTGTGAATGGCCAATGTGTGTGGTTTGAGAAGAGCCGAATCACGCACAGAATTCCTACAAGTTAACAGTATGTAAAGGGCAGGATTATGCAGATCATAAGATAGAATACGTTTGACATCTAAGAATTCCTTCTTTAGAACTGCAGTTTGGCTCTTGCAGATGCTTAAATTAAGGTTCCTATTTTGGCTAAGTATATGCAAGCATTTCATGTTCACCTTTGCAGAATCGTTCTCTTTTTATGTCCCTGTCTACCTGGCCTACAGTGGTGAGGGAGTGGATGGCTTTTGAGGAGGACTTCTGTCCTTCTGGGTTGTTTATAGCTATACCATAAAGTTCAAACGAACACAGCATTTGACTCTTTGAGATATACTTGGCATTTCATCCTGCCAGCACCTTGTAAGGCTGCAGGGCTTATGTAGCCTCTTCTAGAAAGTTCACTGGGAGGGCTTAGCAGATTCAGCAGTGCCTTTCAGTCCATACACAGAAGCACGATTCCCTGCCAAGGCAATTTAGCAGATTGATTTGTAAACCCCCATGCATTCCCAGAGTGCTCTGAAGGACTCTTGAGATGCAGCTTTTGCCGGGAAAACACTGTCTGGAGTGACGTCTCCTGCGATGATTACGATTTCTCCCCATTTGATTTGAGTAGCAAGTATTAATAATGTACAGGCCTGTGTCTTACATCTTCCCGCCTGTGAGCTGACCAGAGCACCATGGTTCTTCATGCTCATCCACACTCATTCTTTGGCTTTGGCGGTCTCCACAGTTAATGCCAAAGTGCTCTCACCAAGAATGATTTCATGACCTAGTGGTAGATCATTTGAATGCACCTTATGAACGTTGTCTAAATAGGAGCTTTTAAGTTTGGTCCACTCTGCAGGTGACCACTGAGCTACCATTAGGCTCTTAGATCAGAGGAGAATGTAAAGAGAACAGACAGCATGAGGGATCCAGGCACATTCCAGTGTAAAAGTACCTGAGTGTGCTATTATATCTAGTAATGCGAGAACATACAGATGGCTCCTTAAAAACCGTCCTGGCCTACGGTTTTCACGGGTTATTTTTAACTCAAGACGTTCAGCTTTTCAGGCCTTCTTTTGTAGCGTTGGGGAGATCTTTTTCTGGGTCTTGTTTTCCTGCCACCGGAGCTCCTGGCCTCCTTTGTTGCCCTTTCCCTCAGTGCACTTTCTGACAATGCTAATGACGCCCATGGCCAGGCCCTGTCCTCCTGTGGGCTCCCCTCTCTTCCTGGGGGGCTCCCTTTCAAGTCAGCCGGACTCTTTCCCTGCACACTGCAAAAGCAGAACTGAACATTTCGCTGTTGCTCAGTGTCTTTGTTCCTGGTGGCTGAGAGTGCCCTGTGGCCATCATCCCTTTTCTTCCGTTTGTCAGCCCTGTGAAGTGGACATTATTGTGCTCCTTTGTGGTGCAGAAACGGAGGCACCAGGGATTAAAGAAGCATGGTCGAGTATAGAGAATGCTCCCCCCGGGAAGGACATCTTTCCTCTACACAATGTGCCTGTCTTGGGAAGGGTCTCCGTGGCTTTCAATGTCTTAATGAAAGTGACAGTTCTTGGCGGTGGACCACTCCGTCCATGCAGAGAACCAGGTTGTGGCCACTCTGTGGAGGTGCTTCTCCAGCACAGAGCGGCTACTAATTTTATTAAAAATATTCCATAGTCAAGATTGGTCATTTCAAACGAAGGTAAATCTCACTAACTGAGAAGATGGGAAGTGAAGGGCAAGGGGATTCCAATCTTAAATTGTGGAGTTTCAGCCCAATTAAAGAAAATATGATAAAATATTTTAAACTTTGAAGTATAACCCTTGAACATAATTTTTTCTTCTAAATTAGGACACTTTTGAGAGGGAAAGGGTGCTATTAAAATCATGTTGCGCCAAACATGGTGGTGCACACCTGTAATCCCAGGGTCTCTGGAGGCTGAGGCAGGAAGATTGAGAGTTCAAAGCCAGCCTCAGCAACTTAGCGAGGCCCTAAGCAACTTAGTGAGACCCTGTCTCAAAATAAAGCATAAAAAAGGTTGGGGATGTGGCTCAGTGGTTGAATGCCCCTGGATTCAATCCCTGGTACAAAACAAAACAGAACAAAAACAACATTATGTTGAAATAATGAGGTGTAAACCTGGAGGGCTTCAGGCGATTGGTATACAATGCAACTGCAGGTTGTACGATATTTCATAAAGAAAAATAAATACAACTGAGCAAAGTGGAATGAGAAAAACGAAGCACTAAGATACATAAAATGAATTAAATGAATGAAAAAGTTGGAATGCAGTAGACTTTGATTGTATGTAATGTAGCATCAACACTCATAGCTAGGCTAACTTTGAAGATTTTATTCAGTAAATATTGCTATACTCTCTCTGAATGATTTCAGATTAAAAGTTAATTCATATCTATAAAGAAGGCTGATTCATGGCCCTTCAATAAGAGTAGAGAATATATCTGACTGTACACTTGAAATTTTAATATTGTACTAAGACTGGCCAATGATATGGAATAATGAACTTCTCATTAATCCAAGTGTTTAAATGATAGAGCAGTCGCTTAATGGGGGAAAATAGCTGTTAAGTTCCTTTTTTTCTCAGTTTTACTTATGTTTTAGAATGCTAAAACAACTATGACTTCTCCTCCTCCTCCTCCTCCTCCTCCTCCTCTTCCTTCTTCTTCTTCCTTCTAATTCAAAATTCTTTTACCCTGTGGAGGTCGGAAACCTCCACCCAGGCAATTTGGTTGGAGGTGAGATTCTGAACCTGCATGTTCAGAAGCTGATACCCAGTGGGGTAGCTCAAGCTCCTCAGTGACTTCTCTGGGTTGTCCTGGGTGTTTTGCCTCCCAGTAGCCCGATAGTAGTGTATCTGTGACCCTAAACCACCACAAAACCTTTCTTCTGTGTCAGGTTCCCTTGGGTCTCTTCAGACAGGAGGACAAAGCCAGTACAAGACATCAGGGACCCTTGCTCATGCCCACGGCTCAGGTGTCAGCAGGCCAGGGGCTGGGGACACTCTAGGCTTTGACTGAGCAACTGCTGAAGGCCTGGTTGCAGGATTGGGGCCCACGGCTGTCAGAGGCTCAGAGACGCCCCCAACGCTGGGGGTTCACGGAGAATGAGATCAATGTCTGTAAGATGAGCCAATCACAAGAACAATGTTTTCCCCTGACTTGAATTGGAGGTGATTTTTGAAACAGCCTCAGTTATTTGTCTGCCAGCCAAGAAAACAGCCTTGGAAGCAGCAGGCAATATGTCAGACTTCAAAGGAGAATGTATTGGTGCCTCATTGGCTCGCGTCCAACATGATGTTGGTAAATAATCGAATCCCGGTGTGGCGTATTTCTCCCTGACCCTTGACTGAAAACTATTGAGGCCCATTCTGTGAGCCGAGGAATGGCAGTCCCTCATTCCAGGAAAAAGGCCAGGAAGAATGACTTTGAAATGTGTTTACAATTAACCGAACAATCTATATTCAGGAGACGGTTAGAACAGCAGGCTGCTGACTGGTGCGAACTTCTTAGATGGAGAAGCACAGAAATAGGCCTTCTCGCAGGGTGGTGGGACGCACCTCTCCAAGTGACAGCAACTGGGCCCTGGAGATGTGTTATAAGGCACATTTTATTTCTTATGTCTTTTTCAACTTCCGTCTTTTCCTTGGGTGTGGCGGGTCACACAGGGAAGGGAAAAAAGCCCTTGCTGAAGGATTGTTCTCAGAGCGGGGGACAGCAGCTGTCAACGCCTGCTGACAGTCCCTTTTGACATGTGTGCGCCACTGGGGATGGTGCTACCGCTTTGTCCCAGTGCTGACCCAGGGAAGAGCCATGTGGAGAGGGAGGGCTTGTCTGCTGGGAGGGCTGGGTGTGGAAGGTGGAGATGGGGACGGGTCTGTGCTGGAAGGTGGAGCCGAGCCTGCTAGGGGGCGGGGAGATAAGTGAGCTTTGATAAAGTGCTACCCACGTGCCCACACACCTCGACCACTTGGGATGCAAGTAAGAGCCAGAAAGCAAGCCATCCCCAGGAAGCAGTTGTGCAAAGTCCATACGAACTGTAATTCCCAGAGGTCGTCAAGTCAGAGGTGTCTTGGAGTGACAGTGGATGGGGTTCTTGCCCGTCCGTGAATGAGGAGACTGTGTGCCTCGTGGAATGGTGGAGAGAAAGCTCAGCCACAGCAGGAGGGAGAGTGCCCTGAGTGGGAGGCAGCTGGCAGGGGCACATCTGGATCCCCGTCAGTGGATCCGTGTTCAAGGACCTACAGAGGGAGCCCAGCTACAGCCGGACCCCCTGGTTGCAGCACCTCTCCCTCAAAATGCCAGATGGGTCCCGTACCCTGGGAACTCTGGGGAGCGATGGACAGAGTGAGTTGAGCACTGCTCGCATGTCAGCCGGGTCCCCACTGGTCCGATTAGATCGGGCTCCTTCAGTACCAGTGCAGCCAGTTGTGGCTGGGGTTTCACCATCATAACGCCTGTAAAGTGGCCTCCACTCAGCCAACCTTCACTTTTGAAAGTTTTGAATATAAAAAATATTTACTTAATTTACTTTACAAATATGTCCAGACATTTCTTAAATTTCTGAGAAAATATGCTCAATAGCATATGCAGGGGGAAGAATCAATTATCCTTCTACTGCTTCTCTGTTAATTAAGTTATTTTAGAAAAGAAACATGGGTATGGAGAACAGGAAAATGAAAACATTTACTCATTGTTCAAATTAACCCAAATAATGTTTTTAAGAAAAATTCTGAGCAATGTGGATCAAACACAGATAATATGAAATATAATATTGTTTTTCTTGCTCTTACTCTTCCCAACTATTTATCTTGGGCCTTGTGATAAAATGGATTAAAGGAAAATTAAAAAGTATACAAGGTACAAAAATAGCATACATTAGAATTTGGTAAATATTAGACCAAAGAAAGATAAGTCAAAGGAAATCACAGAGTGTGGGCCATAACTTACACAATTTTTGAAAGTTGACCACAAATTCGGCTCTAAGTTTCCTAGCAGCAACATGGAGAAGGTTCAGTTTTGCTGTATAGTTGAGTTTATTTATTTATTTTTTTTCAGTATAAAATTTGCCACTTTGGTCATTTTTAAGTGTGCGGTTGGCTGTTGTGTAACCATCACCCCCATCTGTCGCTGGGACTTTTTTATCTTCACCAGCTGACCTCTCACCCTCGTTCCCCTCCTCCAGCGCCTGGCCGTACATCCTCCTGTCTGTGACTCGACTACTCCAGGGGCCTCTTGCAAGGGGGCCGTTCTGCACCCCGCTTTTGTGCTTGGCTTGTTTCAGGCAAGGGCAGGGGCGTCGCAGTCCCTCCTTCTCTGGCTGCGTGACATTCTGCTGTGTGTGGACTGCGTTCATCTACCCTTGTCCCCCGAGGCACCTGGGTTGCTCCCACCCTTGGGCTCTGTGGGCAGCGCTGCTGTGAACGCAGGCACAGCCGTCTCTTCCCTTCTCTTGGTGACCATGGCCAGGAGTGGAGCTGCTGGACCTCGTGGGGACCCCGCTCTTCCAGCAGTCGTCCCACCGTTTTCCACCTGGCTGCCCGGCAGCGTCCCCAGCAGGGCACTGGCTTCTCACGTCTCGCCAGCCCTGCTGCTGCGCTCTTCGTTTGAGCAGCCATCCCGGGGGTGGCAGTGGTGATTGGCTTCAGGTTTTCTTAGTGATCCTGAAAAGGAAGCTGCTTGGGGGGAAAACACCCTGATTCTAGAACCAGAAGGAAACTTCTGTTCAGGGCACTTATGAAGAGGACACCCTTGTCCTGTAAGGCCATTGGTAGTGCTGCAGCCAGTGCTTTAGGAGGGACAGTAGGAGTGCTTTATGGGCTGTTTGTCACACTGCCCTTCTCCTGGGCTCAGGACACCCTCCAGGGACCTTTTGGTCCATGTCCCACTGCCCTGCCCCTGCCACTGGTGGGCTCTGGCTCAACCCAGAGATTAGTTGCTTTGTATCTAAAACAATTGATGGACAAGATGTCCTTTAGGGAATTTCCTATCAATAGTACTTCTCTCAATTGAGTTTCTAAAAATGTTTTACTTCTTTATTGTGGAAAGTGTCCAGCGTGTATACAAGTAAGAGAGGAGATGGCCGAGCGCATGTGCTGGCCTCTGCGGCTCAGCTGTGCTGCCCCGCCCCCGCCCCAGGCTGAAAGCCAGCCTCAGATGTCATGGCAGTTCTCTGTGAGTATTTTAGTGTATATCTTTAAAGATGTCTCTTAAAAGAGGGATATTGACCTCTTAAAGCAGAAGAATGATTCTTACATTACCTAAAATTTTTTATTGTTCATTAATGTTGTACAATATTTAGTAAGTCTTTATTTCCCCTATTGTCTCATATTTACTGGCTCAGATTTATGAGACAATATTGTTTAACTGTTCATCTGAATCAGGTTCCAAATAAAGTCCTTATGTTGCAATTGGTTGATATAAATATTCAGTCTCTTTTTATCACCTCTCTCTCTTTCTCAGAATTTATTTGTTTAAAAAATTGGATAATTTGCCCTGTACATTTCCTTCAGTCCGAACTGAATGATCACCTTCTTCCGTTCTCTGTGTTTTCCATGAATTAGGAGTTAGAGGCCGGATCAGAACCTGGAAATGTCATTCAGGAGGCATTTAATAACTGGCTCTTTCTTTTTTGGTGAAGGTAGCAGCCTTTACTAATGACTGCCATGACCCGTTATTTTACTAGAGACTGCAAGATTCAGTTGGCCTTGTGTGTCTGTGGGTTCTCTATCCATGGATTCAACCAACCATGGATGGGAAATATATTTTAAAAACTTGTTTCTGTTCTGAACATGTACAGACATGTTTTTCTTGCTGTTATTACCTAAACAACACAGAATAACAACTATTTACATCGCATTTACATTGCATTAGTATTGTAAGTAGCTTAGAGATGACTTAAAAGTATTTGGGAGCCTTGCATAGGTTATATGCAGATACTTTGCCATTTATGTGAGAGGCTTGAGCATCTTTAGATTTGAGTATCTCGGAGCCGGAAGGGGCCTTGGATCCATCCCCCTATGGTCCCTTTGAGAACTGGAATATTTCTGCAACAGGAAACTTCCCCTTATGAACCGTTGAACACCAGGAGATGGAGTTTGATCAGAAAAGCAGAGTAATGCTCAGTGTCCCTGTATCTACCATTGGCTCCGTGTGAGCATGGTTGAGCGTGTACTTGTGTGTGAGAGGCATACCTGTGGACAGCTGCGGAAGCCAAAGGTCCACTACCCTGTGATGGAAGCCTCTGAATGGCCACTTACCTTAGGACATTTGACCCAGTTATTGAGATTTACAATCATTCGGCCAGTTGAAAATACAGCCACAGCAGCGGATTGCCCCAGCTGACGTGGGGTCAGGTGGCAGGGGTAGTTTCTGGGGCAAAGCCGAGTCTGGGGAGTAGCCACCTTCTGTTTTGTCCCCACCCAGTTCTGGTGACCAGAGGACCTGCTGCCACATGGATTTGAGTCCTGAGCCTCCAGATTAGGACCAACTCCTGAGGGGCCGGGGGCTGAGCCTGAAGTGGCTGTCCAATTCTGAAGCCCTGAGAAGGGAAGCGACGGGCTCCTCAGGGGCTCTCGGTCAGGTGCGTTGCCGGTGCGTCCGGCTTCCCAGGCAGGACCGCTGGAATGATCCATCCACCGTATGGCAGCCACATACCCCGGGCTTTGAGAAGGCGAGCTCCGTCCTGATCCGCGTACACGTTCACCTCATTCCTACCTCCCATCTATATTTTTATAAGTCATTTAAATTCTTCTTTTGGAACGATGCCATGTATAAATTAAGTACTAAAAATGAAACAAAATGAAACTTCCTGGGTCTCGTGGAGGGTCCGTGCTTTTGTTTTTGTTTTTAGATGATCAAAGCCAGCGTCTTTGCACTTTTCCAGGAGGACTGGGAGTGTGGCCACTGGAAGAGGGTCAGCTGATGGGCTTGAGCCCTGCTGAGGAGCAGCCAGTGAGCTCTGCGGGCGGCTCTCACTGCAGAGCCCAGGGACTGCCCATCAGTAGGTGTCACTATGCCGGACGCCCTTCCTCTTCCTGACGTGCCGTTGGCATCTCAGGGCTTGGGGTCATAGCTGACTAGGGCGCCCCTAGCCCTGGAGCAGCAGCGGTGCCTGCGCATGGAGGACCTCCTGGTGTAGGTCCCACTGTGTGTCCTTGCAGGTCTCAGCTGGGATTCCATACTCAGGACGGTATGAAAGAAATTAATGACAGTCCGTGGTAGACCATGTCATAAATAAATTGAAAAGATTTAAAAAATACATTTAGCATTAGGTGAGTGAAAGCAGACTCATGTGGCCTGCAGAATCTGGCTTACCCAGAGGTCCGGGTTTCTCTTTTGGGAAAACAATTTTTTTTTTTTTTTTTTTTTTTTTTTTTAATTTCTTCCCCCCCCGCCCAAACTTTCCTCCCGAGTCCTCTCAATCCCCCTGCCTCTCTGTGGTGACACACCTCCAGGTTCTGTGCTTGGGTCCTTGTCAGGACAGGGGGAAATCTTTCTAGCAGGTGCCTGCATCCATCTTGCTTTTGACCCCACATATCAAGCTGGTGCTTGGGAGACTCTTCTTATCCCTTTCCCAGGGCCACCTTACCCCCAGGGCTCCCCTTCCTTGGAGTATGACCTTTGTCCCGATGTCACTGAGGACCAAGAATTGGGAAGAGTTTCTATTCACCTCACAAGGAACATGAACAGGAGGAGGTGCCAGTTATCTGGGCAAGCCTGAGGGCTACGGTGGCACAGGCGAGGGGCAGGCGAGGGGCTGTCAGGGATGCAGTGGTCCTTCCTCTTGGCTGCTCATCTTGAGGCTGGACAGTACAGCCTTTGGCCAGCTTCGCAGTGGAGATGTGCAACCCTGGGGCCATGCAGTGGAGAAGGACCAGGGGCATGGGTCTGATGTGCAGCCTCTGCCCCTCCACACGCAATACACAAACACAAGCAAAGCTGGGTTCCCAGGCAAATGGCCTGGGCTCCAACTCTGGTGCCAAGACACCTGGCAGCCAGGCAGGTGCACCAGCTGAATGACAAATGGCTTCCAGTGGCTCTGAATGCAGGTTATGTCCCTGTTTTCTCTCCCATTAGGCATTTGCAATCTAGCTTACAGTGGAAAGGCTGTCAGACATCAGCAGTACCCCAACTGGCTTTTCCCTTTGAGCATCAATTTCCATATTACAAAATATTTTCATGCATGTAATTTCATTTGTTCTTTGCAGTTAACCCTGAGGTGAGAAAATAAGACTAGCATTCACATTATTTGTTTATTCATCAAATCATTTATTTGGTGCAATAGGAGACAGAAAAAAATTTCTCCCCTCAAGGAACTTATACTCTAGGAGTGCGGGTCAGAAACAAGATAGCTGTATAAAGCACGTTATGTCAGACTGTGATAAGTGTAGACTAAAATAAAACAGGGATGGGGGTAGGAAAGGACAGGCTGGGGTTGATCGCAATTTAAAATAGCATCGTCAAGGAAGGCACATTGAGATGCTAATATTTAAGCAAAGACCAAGAAGAGGTGCACTGTCACCAGAGATGTGTTGAAAACGTGTCCCGTGCAGAAGAAACAATTGCAAAGGTTCTGGGGCAGTAGCAGGTTGGGTAGGAGGCCTGTGTGGCTGGAGTAGAATTGACAAAGGAAGAGGAGGAAGGAGGAGATTAAGAGAGAATCTGGTTATCGGGGACCTTGTGGGTATTCCTGGGGACTTTGGCCTTTGTTTTGAATATTATAGGAAATCTTTAGAGCATTGCGGCAGAGGAGTGATGTAATATGACATATATTACAAAACAATCACTTCGACCGCTCAGGGTGGAGGGAGGAATACCAGCAGCAGAAATACCACTCAGGAGGCTGTGTGGTAAGAGGCCAGCACTTCTGTCTTGAACACACAACTTCAACTACATACCCTTGTGGACCTTAGTCAGATGCAGTATGTTCACAGTTTTAGAAGGTTTTATTTATCCCACTGTTTTGAGAATTTAAATGGCCCTTTTAAATAAGACATTATCTTGGCTATTATCAAAAACTCCAAAGATAATAGTTGTTAGTGAGGATTCCCACGGTTGGTGGAAATGTAAATTAACATTAAAAATTGCCCGTTATCCAGCAATTCCAGTACGGGGTGATACCTAAGGGAAATGAGCTCGGAGTCTTGAGGGGGCCTGTTATGGCAGCACTGTTCACAGTGGCCAAGGCGTGGAGTTGGCCCGAGCGTCCATCCACAGATGAGCGGGGAGCGAGTGGTCTGTCTGTCAGTCGAGTGCTATTTGCTTTAATAGTGAGGAAGTCCCGTCATCTGTGACAGCACAGACGGACCTGCAGGACGCTGAGCTCTGTGAAGTAAGCCAGGCACAGAAAGACAAGTGCCACACAACTGCACTCACACGTGGAATCTAAAGAAGTCCAGCTTGTGGATGCTCACAGAAGAAAAGTGGCCCCAGGAGCTGGAGTGAGGGTGCTGGTCAAGGAGGCAGGGTGGCTGCATTATTATGACAGGGACTTGAAAATTGCCAGGAGGAGGTTTTAAGTGTGCTTACCACACACACAAAATGTGAAGTGAGGGGTGTGTTAATCAGCTGGTTCCATCATCCCGCAGTGTGTGTGTTAACCAAAATGCACCACACACCGTAAATACGTGTCGTTTTCCTTGTCATCTTAGAAAGACATGGATAATAAACGATGCCCCAGTTAAAACAGGGACAGGTCATCTGTGGAGCGTTCAGGGACAGTCAGTGCTCCACTGGAGAGCAACGTTACTTGCATTTTTGGATGGACACGGTGAGGTCACTGGGACGCGTCCTGAAGGTGTGCAGGGGTGTCTGCTGAGAGGCTTGTTCCACCATCCATGGGCAGTGGGGAAGCGCCCCCCACTCGGGGCAGGGGAGACAGGTCAGGGCATGTTGGGCTGGGCTGGGAGTGGGAAACCAGTGGCGAAAGGGGCCTGAAATTGACCTGTGAGGTAAGTCAGCATGTCACGGATCTTTAACTCCTCCACCATGGCCACTGTGACCAAGAACATCAGGTACTTGTGGTCAGCCAAATGTGGGTTTTGATCCTAACAGATGTGTTCTGACCTTGGTTATGTTTTGAAGCTTCCAGCTGCTAGTAATCTCACTTCTGGACCAAGTTTTAAGAGACTGTGTGAGTTGCAAGAGGGAACTGGAGAGTAGCCAGATGTTGCTTTCCAGGCAGAACCCCAAGGGGACCGAGCCCTTGGAGAGGCAGGGAAACACACTGGCCAGTGGGTCCCTTGGTGGCAGCACTGGGGTCACAGCTGCTTAGCAAAAGACTGCACATAGAAAGTGGCTGAATCGCAGGCTACTTGGGGGTAGCTGGAAATCAACAGGAAGCCTTCTGGAACGCAGGAGCTCCGGAGGGAGAGCCCAGGGGCTTTGCGTGAATCCCAGTGACTCTGACCTGGGCCCTACGGGTGAGTGCCCAGTCCTGAATGGAACTGGGGTACAGAGACTCGTAGAGATGTTAGGCCTCTTTCAGGGGGGCCGAGTCTCAGGGGTGGGCCCGGGGCGCAGGCTGCATCCTAGGACTGAGGAAGAAAACCAAATGAAGCCACTGTATTTACATTAAATTTTAATTTAATTTAATTTAATTTAATTTAAAACTGAGATTCCTAAGAATCAAGGTGGCCCACCAGAAATTAAATTGTTTTCCAGAAAAAAAATTCAACATTCTTCAGAGGAAAAAAACAAAACCCAATTTCTACTGGATCCTCCACAGTGTTTATCATACAATAAAAATTATCAGATGCAAAGAAACAAGAAAATGTGATTAATGATTAAAGGAAAATAGGCAAGAGAAGCAGGCCCAGAGGTGAACCAGTCAGATGTTGGAATCGGCAGACGGGGACTTAAACCCTGACCTAAGTATATGAAAGGGTCTGCAGGGAAAGATGGTGAAGAGGTGGGGAAATATTGACAAAGAAATGAAAACTATAAAAGAAAATAAAATGGCAATTCCAAGATTGTAAAATTTAGCATCTGAAAATAACGTTCGAGTGGACCTAGGAGGCGTCTGGACGCTGCAGGAGACAGGATCAGTGAATCTGAAGGCAGGTCAGTGGGACTTACCCAAGCTGGAGCACACAGAGGAAAAATGTTCTTGAAAAGTGAACAGAGCTCAATGACTGTGAGATGATGAATGTCAGGTGGCCCGATACACCTGAGACGGAGCATCAGAAGAAGCTAGAAAGTAACTGGGACAGAAGGTAGATTTGAGGGAATAGTGACCACAAGTTGGATGAAAAACTGTTGGGGGAATCAAGGTGAATGACAGGTCTGGAGGGTCGGAGGCGGGGATCAAATCAGGATCAGGGAACAGAATGCTCTGGGTGGGGAGGAAGGTGAACACAAGACCAGAAGGTCATCTCGCTCCAGGACCACCCTCCCCTACTTCCCCACTCGGTTCCTTTTAGGATGAACTGTCCTCCTTCTCTGGTTCCATGGTGACAGTGTGCTGGAATGGAAAGCTCACGGGCTTGGACTGGGACCTCAGCTTGAGCCCCAGCTCTGCTTCTAGCTAACTTGTGTCCAGGGCAGATCATTCCAGTCTGCATCCTGCATCATCACCCCTCAGAGGGAGGGGCCGCCCCACCCAGCCAGCTGGGAGCCAGGTTAAGGAAATACACTCTATCCTAAGAGCAGCAAGAGCCATGGAAGTGGGAAGAACACAGTGAGTTTCAGAAAGATGACCCAGGCTTCAGGGTGCAGCGTGGAGTGGGTGGACAGGCGTGGAGAGACTGGGCTGGAGGCACCACTGGGCCCCACACACCCCTGACACTTTCCCCAGAGCTGTGTGC